GAACAGGGTTACTACAGTTTCTACTGCTCCTTTCTTTTTTTTTTCTCTCCTTCTTCCCTTCTCTTTCTAGGCATTCCATCCAATCCCTTTCTTTTTTTTCTTCTCCTTCTTCCCTTCTCTTTCTAGGCATTCCATCCAATCCCTGTTCCTCCTTTCTGCACGGGATGGCTCAACGGAGAGAGTAGGCCCCCCCCCTACTCACTTCATTGAGCCACCCCGTGCGGAAAGGAGGCACTGGGATTGGATGGAGTGCTGTAAAAGCGGAAGTCTACTTGCCCTTTCGGGCAAGGTTTCCTGATTCAGTAACAGGAAACTAGGAGGGTCCCAAAAATTGCTGTGGCGGTGGGGTCCATCTCCCGTCTCCTTGTTCCCCTAGGCGACGGTTTGTGCTTTCCAACATTTCCAGACTTTTCCAAAGCGCTTTTCTGTGGGGTCCGTTCCCAAGAAAGGAAAAACAAAACACTGGATGAGGTGGGAAAAAACCTTAAAAGCAGACAGGATATCTCTGACTACTGCTGTTGGGCGGGAGGCGACATGAATAAGTTTGTGAGGCCCTATGCTTGCAGGAGGGAGATCCCACTACCCATGTATGTGGATTAGTGTGCTGGGTGTGGGACAGGTGGGTGGCAGCGTGAAATAGGGAAAATAAAAGCAAAAAGTGCCAAAAACCCATTTCATGACCAAACAAATGAAGAAAAAACTCACTCAAAAGAAAAGAAAGTGCTCTTCTCACAGATGGTGTCTGCTCCAGGCAGGGCGTCAGATGTCAGGGTATGATTCACTGACCATGGCTGTGGCAGTCAAGACGACTGCATGTGAGTGGGCACACGGACCATATTCATTGACAATAGTCTGAGGCTTCCTTGTTACCCTAGCAGAAGGGGGTATGAGATCAAGTGAGTTCTGGTACGAGGACTGAAAGCCTGGACCGACGCCCCATCTGTTGAAAGGGGGAATCTATGATAGTAGGCAGATTTAGTCTTGCCCCCCCCCGCCCTTATATTTTTCTTAAAAAAAATTTGAATGTCCCAAAAAGAGTTGGGTGCTTAGTGGTCCTAGGGAATTCTTTTTAGGACTCTGGGATCCCTACTAACTCGTCTTAGGTGGCTTCAATGCTGTTATACTCAGTGACCTGCGGTTGTTCGATGCCAGAACGACGCTGACCGGTGCTGGGGTGTTGCCCTGTAACCTGCGATGCAGGAGCGTGAGGTCTGGTAGAGAGATCTGGGGATGTCTTGGGGTGGGCGTTCCACGGGACAACCAAGGGTTGCTGTCGGGACGACGCTGGTCGGAGCTGGGGTGAGTCTCGCTGCCCTGTAACCCAGCAGAAAGTGGGGGTGTGAGACCTAGAAGAGATCGGCAGGGAGTATGACAGTTTTGGAGAACGTTGGAAGGGTTTGTGGGGGATTTCGAGGTTTTTGGAATAATCGTACGACCTCTATGGCCTATTCTCATGCTTCTGGAACGATGGTAAGAGTAAGGTGAGTGGGAGAGGATGGTGGGTTACCACGCATTCTACCAGTGAGGGGGCTAGTTGGTAGGATGGGAATATGGCATAGCAGCAGCAGAGATGGTGGCTCCGCTTCAGTCAGTCTTGCTGGAGTGAGGTATAGTGGATTGATGGGAGTTTTTCTTAGTCGTTTCTGAATTTCGCTTAATCATGAAGATTGTCCTAGACATGTCTGAAGTAGCTCCAATTTTTTCGAGCCAAAGCCGGGTAATGGACCCGGTATCTCAATTTCCAAAATTCCATCCTTAGGCCAATTAGATTTTTTTAGTAGTTCCTTGTCTCATTTTCATGAATTTTTTGTTGAAGTTTTTTTAGCGTACTCATTATGGGACGGTGGGCCCGGTTCCCAGTTTGTGCCAATTTGTGAGGATATGGTTGTATCTATGGGCCGCTGGACCCGGTTTCCAGCAGGTGCTGCTCCCCACAAATAGATGGAGCTTTTTTCCGAAAAAAAAAAAAAAAAGGCCGCAGTGCACGCTGCTGCTCCGTTGTTCTGACAGAAATTGTTCTTACAGAAATTCTCTTTGGCAGGAGGGCAAGAGTATCTCCATACACCCTTTGCTGTAGGTGCGGGGATGGAACCCTCCCAAACACCTCCCAAACCACAATCAATTTCCAGCGATGAAGCCCTTCGTCTTTGCCTTGTCCCGCCATGCTACGACCATGTCCTTGTCCATGACCATGGTTAGTGAGCAGTCAACGGACAGTGATGAGACAGCTGTCGTCGGAGAACCGAAGTCGTCAGAGACCACAGGCTCGTCACAGACAGCGAGAACTCAGTTCCATGGTCCATCCGCAGCCTGACAGAAAGCGTGATTGATATCCTCAGCAGCGCAGCCCTTGCTCTCCACGTTCACAATGACATCAACCACTGAGACACGTTGGTTGCAGTGCAACGACGTTCAGCACAGCCTTGGACGTGCCAGTAGAAATCAGAACAATGTTCAGAGCTGCAGAGCATGTACTCGGAAGATCACGGTCCGATGCAGAAAGCAATCTCTGCATGGTACCCAACGAGCAACAAGGACTCAGGCTGTCGACAAAATCAGCCGCCAAGTACAACTCAACGCATTCTCTTTCTCTCTCTCTCTCTCACACACACACACACACACACACACACACACACACACACAACACACACACACACGCACAAACACGCACGCACACACACACATCAGCCTAGTACTACTCAATGCATCCTCTCTCTCTCTCTCTCTCTCTCTCTCTCTCTCTCTCTCTCTCTCTCTCTCTGAGTAACAAACTACAAAAGCAAACAGATTCACATGGCGAGAGAGAGAGGTAAAGAACGTTGGATCCAAATAGAGTGTAAGGGAAATACCATAGTGAAGAAAGGAAGCGAGAACGGAAGGAATGGAGCAAGGGTAGGGGAAATGAGGGAGTAGGCCCAAAGAAAGCGAGGAGGAAGTCAAGTACGAAAAGCCGAGCTAACCTGGCCTCCCCGTCAAGCAGCCTAACAATGCGGAGCTCCTCTTCAGGCGTCTTTAATAAACGCTGTCAGCCCACGGTGATTCGCATTAGCACACATCCGCTTGCGATAGACCGTCGCTCCACTACAGAACACTCTACATGCATTTTGGACGCTCAATGGACAGATGCACTCGGACCAATCCAACATGTTGCACGTATCCGGTCCAGAAAGAAAACAAAAACGACGAAATGCATTGAGTGCTGTGTAGTGGAGCGAGTCCTGTAGTCAGGCCTGCGATCATTCGATCGAGCCGTCAGCACTAGACAGCGACTAGAATGCCTATCCCTGGGTGTGATTCTGCGTTTAGTCTGTTGCGTTCATGTTTGTGCACGTTTCTGCGCTTGCGCGGCAGACTGCCTTATACAGCACATATTAGTTTTCTTCCCCCCACTCAACCACTACCTACCGCCCCATTTAAGTCATAATACAGGTGTCAGATCTCTCTCAAACAAGAAAATTGGTGGATGGATGTCTCCGAGAGTCAGTTTGAGAAGAGATTGCGTTGGCGGGGTCTCGTTGCAAGTACGCCCGAAGATAACAACACAAAGCGGCGGAAGAAAGCAGCGCAGAGAATCGTTTTTCAACAGATATCCTGAATTGAGCTTGAGAGTCAGCGCAATTTCGTCATCATCATTATGTCTAGGGCGACACTAAGACGACGACTTCACCGACAAAATCCAGTGCACTTTCCTTTCGCATTCATTCAGGAAATTGCGGGTGACCCAAGCACATTGCAATACGACATACGATACTAGATCTACCCGAGAGGGCGCATCAACCAGTAGGCCTTTCCATCTCACCACAACGTGGTCTACGCATCTGTACGCAAGTTTGCGTAGATTCGGTTGAAAAAAGTACTACCGCGGGTGTGAATGATCGATCCCTCATTGACAAGAGTAGCCTGCCTTTTCCACGGACTGATCATAGGAACAATTCCCTCGACATCAAATTGCACACCCCCTGCTCATATATCCATACCTTCACCATGCAATTAAGCAATTTCTCAATCCGAGACAAGCAGGCTAGCAACAATCACTCAAACCCTCATTACGTCAAATGCTTTTCTTTTTTCAGGGTGAAGGGGAGGGGGGGAGGGGTAGTGTAATCACCGAGCTCATTTCTCGATAGGAATGCAGACAAGGTACCACAGGGAGGTACCAGAGCCAAGTACCAGAGGCAAGTACCAGAGGCAGGTACTTTCTTCGTGTGAGCTTCGTCATTCGACCAACCATTTTAATGATTCATTCCTCTGCCTGCACTAAAGCTAGTTTTGGTGGTAACTTAATTCTTTTGAGCAGAGGAATTTACCCACGCTGTCAGCAGCTGGCCAAAATGAGAAGCATCCAAAGAAACAGCAGCACACGTCCTGGACAGAAGTAATGAAACGAGATGAAAAGCATAGCAGCTTGGAGACACAGGGGAGAGGGAAGACGTATTCACGGCTACGTATGCCAGTGAGTGATGAGAAGAGGAGATGGACAAAAACACAACGCAGAGACAACAGTTTGAAGACATTGAAAACAAAGAGGGAGAAAACCTGTTAGGAAGAAACAGTGAGACAGCGATTTGCCCCGAACAGTACCGAAGAACGACAAATTAAGCACACATACAAACCGCCAGAACAGCACCGCGAAAAACACCGTAGGATAGTGCAAGCCGAAAAATACATACAATGTGATTGATGCCATCAAATTCATCAAGCACACATACAAACCNTGATTGATGCCATCAAATTCATCAAGCACACATACAAACCGCCAAAACAGCACCGCGAAAAACACCGTAGGATAGTGCAAGCCGAAAAATACATAGAAGAAGGTCATTGATGCCATCAAGTTCATCAAAATGGCATGACAGGAGAGGGGGACATGTACTCGTTGTGTAAAGGAGAGATCTATTAAACGAGCGAGCAAACACACAAATTTCATTCATCTAGCACAGACCAATCAACCATACCATACAGCCCAGACCAATACTTACCAAGGTACATAGACGTACCCTCGACACGGGTATTATTTATTCGGAAAATGTTTTCATAATGTTCTCTCCTGACGGAAAGGATCCACATCACAAACATATATATTTGAAACCCTCGAAACCCAGTAAGCAGCGCACTCAGCGAGCATCCTCGGGTAGTGATAACCTACTAATCGCAGTAATACCCAAAACACTCGTGCCATAATCACCGGAATGGAATCCCCAAAGGCTCCAACCAGCGCCAAAGAATCCACAGCATCCACATCCGGAACCCTACGTTTATTCCCTCCGGTCCCCTCCCTCCCATTACTTTCAAATGGACCATATTCACGCCACCATACTTGGAAGAAAGCCAGTCTTTCCTCACAGAGAAGACCATATTTCGTCTGGTCCCCCGATATGGTTGTTAAAGACATTATCTCATGGCCCTTCCAAGGAAAACCAGCGCGCTATAACTTCGGACAGGGGTCGTACGCGAAGATCGACACGACCTTCAACATAAGAAAGAAGTGGGTAACCAACCAAACGATAGATACCGCGAGGTCATTGCCAGCACAGGTCAACAGATAGACACTCGATGGTATTCGGCAGAAGACGAAAACAACTCGTCGCCAATAAGAAGGGACGTCGAGTCGTCGACAGATCACATTTCAGATGGTATTCGGCAGAAGACGAAAACAACTCGTCGCCAATAACAAACGAGAACTCCATCGAGAGGAAAAGCATCAACAAAGACGAAGGTCTGCCATCCTATGGTCAACGGCCCACAAGCCTCCCTGCTACGCATCTCCTGAGATTATATAACACAATGGTATGCCTGCTCCAAACCATCCGAAGTATTTATTACACCCGTACTTTTTCCCCGAGCGCGCAACTCTCCATTTGCACTCTTAGCGTGCAACTCTCCATATGCACTCTTCCTCTTATGGCAAGCGATCAAGGAACTAATCAATAAAAGCAGACCACGACGTTTCAAAGGCGGTACTACTCCGAGAGAGAGAGAGAGACTCTACAAATAGCACGAGTGAGTCAACGAATGAAAATGCCACAAACTTGTAGTTAGCTAACAGATTTCCTTCCACCTGGGCCGGCTAGTATCTCCTCAAAATCGGGGGAGAAAAAAGCCATTCCTTTCCCTGCACCGACTATATTGGAGCGTCGTTGAGGACGTTAACAACCTCCAAACTTCGTTACGTCGCCAGCGATTACAATGTAACCAGGGGGCAGGAAGTCGGGGAAAGAGAGTATTTTGATTGCCTGGCCGATTCCGTGCCCTAGCCCGAAATCGCTAAAAGCAGACACGCTCCAAAACAGCAAAAATCTCCAGGGTGATTAACACCGCTCTAACTGTTGCCACCGAAAAGAATGCCGCCATGCTCCTTAAAGAATGGTGCGAAGACAAGAGACTCGACTGCCATGAGCTTGATGAGGATGTTGAGAGATGGGCCCGACGTGTCCTTGAGGGGATCGCCCACGGTGTCTCCGATGACGGCTGCCTTGTGGCATGCGGAGCCCTTCGGCCCGAGCGCGCGTGACTGCTCCGTGTTGCCTGCCTCGATGAACTTCTTCGCGTTGTCCCACGCTCCGCCGGTGTTGGAGGCGGAGATGGCCATCTGCACTCCGGAAACCAGGGCGCCCGCAAGAACACCTGCTAGCGTGTACACGCCGAACAGGTAACCCGCAATRATGGGTGTGAGCATCACCAAGCAGCCTGGAGCGATCATCTCCCTGAGCGACGCGTCCGTGGAGATCATCACGCACTTCTTGTAGTCCGGCTTCACCGTTCCCTCCAGCAGGCCCGCAATGGTGTTGAACTGCCGCCTCACTTCCTCCACCATGGCCAGAGCCGCCTTGCCCACACTCTTCATCGTCATCGCCGAGAACCAGTACGGCAGCATCGCCCCCACGAGCAGACCCACGAACTCCCTCGGTGCGATCACGTTCACCTCCGAGATGCCGGCGCGATTCACGTAGGCGCCAAACAGAGCGAGCGACACCAGCGCAGCCGACCCGATCGCAAAGCCCTTGCCGATAGCAGCAGTCGTGTTCCCAGCCGAATCCAGCGCGTCCGTCTTCTCACGGATGGCTGGACCCATCTCTGCCATCTCGGCGATCCCACCGGCATTGTCGCTGATGGGGCCGTAGGCGTCGATGGCGAGGCAGGTGGACAGAGTGCTGAGCATTCCAAGTGCTGCGCACGCAATGCCGTACATGGCCGCCAGGCTGTAGGAGAGGTAGACGGCGCCGGCGATGGCAAACACAGGGATGATCACAGACTTGTAACCCAGAGCCAGACCGAAGATGATGTTGGTTGCAGCTCCCGTCCTGCACGCATCCGCCACGTCGCGCACTGGCGAGTACTGGTGGCTGGTGAAGTACTCCGTGATGTACCCGATGATCAGTCCCGCCCACAAACCGGCCGCCACGCAGAAGAACATGTACCAGTTCTTCACCACCTT